TGCCAAGCGACGAAAACCCAACCCCGATGGCAAACACCGGGGGGGGCGGGGGGTATTGTTTGTAAGAGGCTGTGTGGTCTACGTGCTTCACCCAGCATGTAGACAGCAGGTTTTCTCGTTGTTGTGTACTCGGTCGCGCGAGATATATGTGCCGCGGGCGCCTCATAACTGTGTGTGTGTAAAAACTATCCGAGAGAGATCCTTTGTGGGCAATTTCCCTACCTCAGACATACCGAAGGGGTATTTGGACGGGAAATGACCCACGTATTGTGCACAAATAGTTTCGTGTCTTCAAGAACGCCCCCAAAACGTATTTGCCGCCGCATCAGGGCAAAGCAAGAAGATTGTCCGTACCTGCTTGTTGAAGCACACGTGGGTCAGCTTGGATCGCTTCACCACCTTCTGCTCGCACAAGGGCTCGTGCTGGAGAACGCAGCACAGAACGAGGTGGGGCACAATACACAGCGCGATATGAAGCACGACGTAGTCAAGAGACGGCCGGGTAACAAGTCGGCAGGGGTCGGCATATGGCAGGGCTGGACGGAAGACATATCGTTGTACGATCTGCTTGGTGCTGACACATAAAACTTCCATAAGTGTGTCCATCTATATGTCGGCCGACCAATTAAGGAAGCTTCTGTCCTTCGACTTGTTGTTTGGCCCTTCGTCGTTTGTCACTCTCGAACACGGTAACGTCGATGTATTTCTTACGGGGTTCTGTCTACCTTCTAACCCGTTCCCCTTCCTCCGCCTCCCTCTTTCAACTGCTACGTCTTCGTTTTTCATTTCGACACTCTGCCATTGTTATCTCTGACTTTCAACCCCGCAGCCCCTCCCATTCTCTTTCTTTCGTATCTTTAGGCCAGTCGCCCACAGAAGGCAAACATCACACCCCAACGGAGGCTTTTTGTTTACTTTGCTCAAGATTGACGTCTCCGCACTGATCGGTCGGTTCGCGTAGTAGATGGTGATGCTCAGTAGTAGCACACGCACCTTGTTCTCTGCCAGGTCGAATACGTGCACCTTCCCGTCGCTCGTGACCGCCGCCATCACCGTTGAAGAGTAAGGAGACCAGAAAACGTCGCCAACCTGGTGGCCGTACAAACAGCAACCACAACATTCGCACCGCAAATGCCTCATTCCACGCGAGAACCGAGGAAGAATGACCTCACCAACAGGGCACGGGCTCGCCAAAATTAGCCCCAAACACGTGGATTCACAGGACCTATACACGAGCAACTATGATCACCGTACCTTCCCCCGTTGCGCCGAGAAATTGGTGTGCCCGTTCTTTCACGAATCTGTTTGCTGCGCACAACAGCTGTTTGCTGCGTACAACTACTTCGGTGATTGACGACGAAAGGCCTCGAGCAAACGTAGGAAGACAATAGTAATGTATGGACGGATGGACAGGAACAAAAACGGTGCACCTACAATACCCCTGGACTCGGATTCTCACGAAAGTTTCGCTAACAAACCCTGCTCTCCATTTTGCCTGTACTTGCACATGTCGACGGGATCGATCGCTCGGCAACTACCACGCCGTCGGTGGCAGTCCTATCGACAGCGGTGGTGGTTGTGGAGCTGTGCGGTGCAGATATATCCGCCTGATTTTTACGTCCGCTGCCTCCTTACCGCGTTTCCAAGGTCGAAGCTCATGATCGGGTACGGCACGCTGTGGTCCCACAGCTTCACCGTCCAATCCGCCGAGCACGACACGAACACCCGGGGATGGAAGGGGTTCCACCTGACGCGGCGTTCGGGGCGGCCAGCGCGGGGAGAGGGCAAATTCAAGCCACCTTTTTATGAGACGCTCGAAGTAACGTTGGAGCAAGAAGAAGTGATTCCATCGGGGGTGGGGGAAATGATGTCGATGCAGAACTGCCTGTGACATGATAGTGTGCAATGCTTGTGTCTCACGCTGGTCCGTCGCGATAAGATGTCGTCAGCAACTTCTTCTGGTGAAGAGCGATTTCTGATCACGGAAACATTTCAACGGACGGTAACGGTTACCAATCCCTTCCTCAGTTGAGAACATCCCCAAAGCAGCACCGCTCGTGACTAGCAAGCAGAATAACTGTTTTTCGAGACTCCGGAAAGCGTCGGACGCTTCTATCCTTCTCCCCTCCTTTCTGCGAACCTGAGCGTGTAGACGGCCATGTTGTGCCCCTCGTACGTCTCGAGATACTGCCCGCTGTACGCCTTTGAGCACTTGTGGATCTTCCCTTCCTCGGTGCCCACGAGGAAGAGGTGCTCGCTGTGCCGGTTGAAGTCGAAGCAGCAGCCCCCAGCCAGCCCGGAGAGAGAGGTCTCCTCCGGGTCGTCCTGCCGTTACAAGCACACGCCCAGACGTATGACGATCGTCAGAGGTACACCACATACGCAATAGGAAAAGCATGCCACCATGTGGAGAGAAGGTGGCCAGGGTTGAAAGTGGATTACACGCCTGGTCACCGCTTGATGAGGAGCATCTGATTAAATTCAACGTTGATCAAGCGTGAAGAGACAATCGAGCACAAACAGTACAGAAAATCTGAATATACGCGAAAGTACTCATCTGGGTAGGGGTACAATAGTGGACGATCCCATCGCTAACCTTGATAGTGTTGACGAGTTTGAGCTGCATGACCGGCTCCATTTTAAGCTCGTTCTTGGACATGACCCAACTGGCCACCCGGCCGTCGGAGGAAATGCTGAAAAAGTTCAGCTCCTTGGGCTGGTCGTCACTTTGCCAATACACCTGAACACGTCACACGGGATACAGAAGACAGTCCCGACCCGAGCCCGATCATATATTGCTGCACGTGTAAGACCTCTGATATTGCCATGTGCTTGGATCGCGGGGATAGCGTCGAATAGCTCGCATCACGTGGGCCAAATGCGGTAATTTAGACCTTCACAACGGTAGTCAGCCGAGCCATCATGGCTTTGGCTGCGCAATCAAACACACATCCTCCCATACCTGCCACACGGGGTCCGTGTGCTTGCCCGTCTTGATGCTAGAGGAGTAGATGGGGCGGTTCGCTTTGTGTCTGACGTCGAAAACCATGACGGTGCCGTCGTGGCAGCCAACCGCCAGCAAGGAGTTGTGCACCGGGTGGAAGTCGAGGCACATAACCTGTTTCGTTCAGTTCAGTTCGGCATAGTACGTTTATATGGGGAGCGTAGCGGGCCATCTGTAGCGCATGTCGCACAACCAGTATAACTTGCGTCGTAGTTCTACGGAGCACGTACAAGATCTACGGGTGGAGTCATGAAGATGCGCAACCTCTGGAATTGATCAACGAAACGGCTTTCAATCACGGCAACCGTTGCCCACGGTCAACTAATAAAGAGGACTCAAAGCGTTTCGTGCAGAAGGTAGCCGTGCACCACCTTGGTAGATAGAAGCATCCAAAGAGATCAAATCCCCCGCGCGCCCCTCCCCTCACCCCGCTCTCGGTGCCGAAGGTGTACTCCGGGTGGCTGGTGTTTTTCAAGCTGAAGCAACACACCATCCCGCTGCCCTGGCGCATGAAGTCGTAGCTGCCGTAGGCTGCCGCGAACAGATCAGGGTACTGCGGGTTCCACGCTAGGGCCGTCACCTGCGGAAACGAACAAGGTCGACGGCCGGCTAGTGTTTTTCATTTCCGCCGTACACAACGTCAAACACACACGAATGATGCCAGATGTAATCGAAGGCTTGGACGAAGCTATGATCGTGATAAGCGGGTGGTTTTGACGTCATTTACCATCACCTTTCATGTACGGCCGAGCGCTACTGTTCCAACAGCTAGCACGTATTGTTCCCTGCACGAAATAGCTGGATGCCTTCAAATACTATGTATTACTCTGAGCGGTATACCATGCATAACGCACAACGAGACCGCACATTTTTGTTTGTGGACTGTGCCATAGCTCGGCGGAGACCACGTAGCATGCAACATGACGTTCACAGACAGGAAGTCTCACCGCACCACGCCTTCGGCCAAAACTTAGCAAACTTCGTGCGGGGGCATTTGTGTGGTCGGGGCCGTTCAACGCCTAGCAAACGGCTGCGTGGCCGCAAAACTGATTCATTGCTTCGACTCACTCAGGCTACCGCGAAGGCTTCGCGCCACCGCAACGTACCTGCTTCCTCTTGGTCCTGTCCGTGCTGAAGCGCCACAGGGGGAGCAAAGATCCCTCGCCCTCACGGAAATGATCCGATGCGTCCTAAACAGCGGCGTGTTAGGGCCGATCGAACCAACGCGTTGGCAACAATGACTTGCCTTCTGCCGAGGAACGACATGGCATATCAAAGAGATTGATGCTCGTGCCTCTACGTAGCGGGGAAAAGATCGTCAGGAGCGACCGCGACCGTTCAACATGAAGGCTTGCAATCTGCTGGGTAATTGGGTCGGAGAGAACGTCTCGTGGTCGAAACTGAAGACCCAGACCCAGGCAGAGTACGACATTGCAAAACCTATCACTAAGTACGTTCGCAAACCCGGTGAAAGCAATGGAAGGGCTAGATGGTCTCACCTCCCAGTACTTGAAGTCTTGGAAGATCTCGTCCTCCGCGTTCTGGTTTACCATCCGCTCCAGAATCTTGAGGGCACCTCCCATCTTGGCGCTGTGAACCATGTCGTCCTCGTTCCGGCCCCCTCCGCCCGCCCCATCATCGGCGGCCTCTGCGTGGCGTTCGAACATTTATACAGGACGCGATGAATTGGCACCAAAGATGACTTCAACTTCTGTGCATGGTCTGTCCAAGAGAAAACAAAGCATATTTTAGCACCTTCTAAATGTGGCTTTGTTTTTCAAAAGATTACCTGCATCACAGCAAGCCGCAATACGTTGCCTTGGAGTGCGAGGGCTTCCAAGAAGAGGCACGAGACACGGCAGGGACACAAGCACGTTCCCTCACCTTTATCTCTCTTCTTCTTGTTTTCGACCTCTTGTTCAGCCATCTGTCCCGTATTCCATGGAAAGCAAACCCAGATTCACAAGCATGACGTAGGTATAGATGAAGAGGGTGGTGATGGACACAGGTCTGAACTGCAGTGGAAAGGGGACTGTTAGAGCATGCAGATCGACGTTTTTTTGCTGTTTCCTGTTGCGTCACCGGCCCGGAGTCTACCGATGACTCGACCAAATCCCAGGTTTGCAAACAACATCCGATACCGCTCTAAATAAAAAATTAATTCCGGTCGTTGTGCGCGCGAAAACCACACGAGGATAGACGTTCCATAAGGCTGCTGATGTTCAAGGTCAATATCAATCTTGAACTCCTCGAGAGACGCGAATTTCCGACACCAAAGCTAGCACACTTTCCAACAAAGGCTGCACACGAAAATCTAGAACGTTTGTGTGCCGCACGGATAGTACAACACTTTCAACATTTCGGCAGCGCCGGTAGTATCGTGTATGTATCGCGCTAGAACCAGCGCTGAACAGCTCCTTCATTGCACGAGCACACACCTGTGCCGAGTACTCTGCCATGTAGGAGTCATAAATCTCCCACTGCGCCACGGTGTTTCTGAAAGAAAGCATTGGCGGTGGTTCCGTAACTACTCCTCTCTCCCGCATAGGATTGTTGAAGGTCTGTGCGGCGCGCTCAGAGTAGTTGAACTGGTTTTTCCCGCTTTCATTACCGGCGTCCTGATCAGGCTCTTCTCCTGCCTCGATGGCCTGGTGGGATGGTTGCCAAGGGTAATCGATTGGCAGCAACGACATAAATGACGACGGAAACAGCAACAATAGTGGCCCTGGTTAACCTGATTCTCGCGCAGCGACAATAATTTCCACAGTCATGGTGTTCGACAGAACACCCCACTGAGCCAAATCGGTCTCTCGTGCTTGACACACGTAGAAATATTGTCCCATACCTTGTGCTACGGATCGAATCGCAAGTCACGGCGCGAGAAGAGCAACATGTCACGACGTCAGTCTGGCTCCTTCAACACCACGCTTCTTCCCGAGGGAAAGGTGAGCCATCTACAATCAGGAGGCCTTCTACGTCATATGCCTGCCCTTTACCCGCCCCCCCCCTGGCCCCCGCCCCGGTGTTTGCCATCGGGGTTGGGTTTTCGTCGCTTGGCAACGACGTTCTAAAACAAGCCGCCCCCCCTGGTCCGGTGAGAACCCGGCGTGCTCCGTCCCGGCTTTGTAGGGATGCGAGGTCAATGGTCTAACGACTACGGCATGCACGAC